ACTCACACAAGACCTCCAGGCGGTGGCTGTGGCCTGCGACCACTTGGGATTCCGTCCCCTGCGGGACGGACACGACGGCGCCACGCTCTCTCACGGTTGAACGTCGTGCCAGACCGAGTGATAACTTCCCCCCTAACTGTTCTGTGAACAATATATTGTTCCAACTACCCTGGCCTTCCCAAAACTTCCCCCATCTCATAAGTAACCGGGCCAGGAAGATCGCAGCCGTTAGGGTTAAATCTTCTTGGCCTTAACAGTTAGCGATAGATCCGCGTTCCGCTGCATGGTTGCTGTTCAGCAATATAGTTTGCCGCTCCTTGGTGAACGTTCGCCGACCGATAACGGAACTCACTTGTTCCGCTGCGGCTTTTTCCGCCTTGGGCCTCATTTATCGCGCCTTGACAGCAACTGTAGCAGCTAGAAGTATGGGCAGATATTAAGGCCGGCAAAGGAAGTGGAGATTGGGATGGCTATTTCTGGCTTATTAGCCGTCGTCAGCTAGTCGTACCCGGACTCAAGTGGTGCAGCACTCGAACCTCAAACCCGTGACCCTTTGATCAGAGTCTAACGCCCTAAATATGGCTGATACTTGGACTGCAATGGCTGCTTCCTTGTGCGGCCTTCTCGGTATTTTCATCCGTGGGAATTCCGAGTCTTCCTCCCGGTAGCCTATTGCACATGCCGTGTGTGGCACGCATAGACGAGCTCTCGAGCTCCGCAAGTCAATGCACCCGCTCCCTCTTCCGCCGTCTTGATATTGAGACAAGATGGATGAGAAGAAGTGCGGTAGATGCCGCACAATTTTGCTTCGCAATGAACTGCTTCATGTGCTAAGCACTTGTGCTGCACCCATTCTGTGGGACACGTGGCAGTCATCGTCTCTTGCGTCCGTGGGGCGTATGGTACTGAAGAAAGTGACTTGAACAAGACAACTAGTAAGTAATATCTGACGGTCGTAGCACCTGCCATAAAATTGGGGAGTAAAGTCAGAGATGAAAGTCGCGCGATATCCATATTAGTACCCCTTGGTTTCCGATAGAGTCAGGACCAGCAAAATTTACCGTGCTGACGGCAGGAAAGAAAACATTTCACTTTCCTTCCTCAAAGTCCCCTTTCAAGGGGACCCCGACGAATGACCTCCTGAAAAGGTGCCTCCACCAAGCTGCGTGACGAAATTCTCCAGCAGCATGAGTCGTGTAGTATTTACTACCCCCACCCTCCCGTTTTACACGAAACTAAAGATGGATTGTCAGCTCAGGCCAACTCCATGTGCATGTATACCTCTATTTGCTTCCGCGGAGCGGGATTCGGTGCCAACCAAAAAGACTACAGTATTTTTTTGTGGTGTCTGTGAAGAAAGAAGATAGTAATAATGTAAGCAGCGCCATCCTCGCACGCATTTTAGCTTTCAGACAATATGTGAGCCCATAGAACTACCCTAAGCCACTGAGGCACCGCCTGCTGGAAGAAGTGGAAGTGGATGTAATCCGGCTAGGTAAACCAGTCTTAGGAGCACGGAGGAACTTTGCAAGGGCCCTGGATTTGCCATGGCTAAAGGTAACTTATTTGTATGTAATTCTCCGGGTCCTTTCCCTTGAAACGTCTCTTCTTAATCCTATCTGTATGCGTAATAGCCATCATCACTTAAGCAAACTGGTACGCATTGCTTCCAATTATCCTCCATATTCTTCACGTCCCATTTGCATGAAGAGATGAACCTTACTCGATTTCGCTTATTGGTCACGGACTCTTTACTTGGCTCCGTTACCACATGAGAATTTATTGAACTAGTCTTCTTAAACTCCTATCATATTTTTAATGTTTACTCTTGATAAGAAACGAGCCTGTCCAATACATAATTGTAGACCTTACATGTATACTATAATCCTAACCGTAGGCTCTGTTTAGGTAAAGAGGAAAGTCACATATCTGAAGTCGCAGACCTTAAATAATATCATAATTACCTAATGAAAAAGAAACGAGTTCTCAGTTTTTACCAAAGGGACACAGGTTGCCTGTTTACAGCACACCACTGACTGAACGCAAATACATCCAGTTTTCAGGGGAACAAAGTCAAAAGAGGAGTTCAGGAAGGACATACCTTTGGAATTCTCGATCCCAACTCGGCGTAGCAGAGGGCGTTGAGAAAGGCTGTAATGCCGGCAAGCAGGTAAGAAAGAAAGGTAGCGGGGCCAGCTTTATCGCGAATCACCGTACCCGTGAGCACATATACACCGGAGCCGGCCATATTACCTGAAATGGACAGCGTTCAACAATTGGACGAAAATAGGAGCCGAACGCCTGCAGACACTATTTATGTTAGATGACTTTTTACTTTATATTCTAAGACAAATTTTATAGGATTGCTTATAGGGTTTCCTGAACGGAACACCGGAATGGGAACATCCCGCACATGTTATAAAGGTGGCCTGTGCGTAATTCTAGAAAGGGCAAGTATTCACGTGGCCTTGGAGTCAGAAGGTTGCGTGTTCGAATCACGAGTCATCAATTTTTAGACGTCTAAGCCGTGAGTGCGCTCCTCTATCTGCTTCTTGGACAGCCAATCACAGGTGCCGTAGGCTGCTATCGGCCAAGCAAAGGATCAAGTGGTTAGTGACCCACTCTCGCATGACGTTTATACATTCACGCCCATAGCACGCTAGCAGACAGACGTGCGCGCAGGGCCCGGGCCTGCCGCGTGTCGGGGCTTCAGACCACCACTGAGTTTTCTATACCCCTTCTCTTCCTTTACGGGACTGAGCGTGATAATTTTAGGGCAACAGTAGCTTATGTAGGCCCACTCATTAATCCCTACTCCCTGCATGTTTTCCTACGTAAGCGGTGGTTACAGGGTTTTATGGGTGAGGAATTAGGACACGCAGTGGAATATACTTTAATAAATGCTAAATGTATTTTAATTTTACTGTATTTAGAAGTGCTGTTGATTAATATCTGTAGATTTTGCTAATCTGTATTATCGTTTAACTTATTGCTGCAAAATCTGATTATCAAATTGCTGGTTTCTTGAATTTCCTGAAAAGTTGAAATGATGGTTAGGAGGTCATCTACTTCAGCTTACCGGAGGTCCAACTTACCGTTCTGGAGTTAGACTACTATAGTCCGCGGCGCGAAGCGCCGCGCACACCTTCAATTTACATGCGGAACAACTTACTCCCAGCGACCACTGCAAGCAACTATGACTAAAATTTTTTACTTTACACCTACTTCTAAAAATTTCCTTCTCTGCCCATCCTATTTCTCCACCCCTGAAAACTCTATAATCACCGTTTTGCAGGGCAAAACTCTGGGACTAGGGGTATATGAGTGGGCCTACATAAGCTATTTTTGTCAATTTTATTGCTCTGAGCACACTGACGGCTTAGACTCCTATAGCCTCACCTGAACACTAGTCCGAACATAGACCTAAACCGCAGTCCAACTTTGGGCAGGAGTTTCCTTGGTAGTGGTGGAATAAAACTCCACATTTCCAGCTTT